GTCACTATAACTCTAATTAAAGCATATCATACAAATATGATACATGACATTATGAAGTTAATACAGAAAGAAATGCAGAATGAATGAAACAAAGCCATACCGTGCAGTCAAATGAGGGCTAAAACAGATCACAGCTGTTTGAAGCAAGTACAGCAAATAGTTGTCATGGTTACATGTAAACTAACCCGAACATGTGCAGTGAATCCTTCTCATGCTTTGCCATGCTAAGCAAGATCTGATTGGGTGTAAGGGGTCATTACCACTCCCCACCCCTGGCGCATGTGTGGGAGGGACTGCCGTATTAAAATGTATCCAACATGCTGCCACCTACTAGTCACACCCACCACCCCCATACCACCTGAAGTCACTGTGATGTCATACTCCAACTAAATACTATTCAAAAACTTTGTTTCTTTACATGAGAGTACAGTATGGCGTGCTGGTGATATCTTCAATAAATTTCATTATTGGCGGTGCCATCCGTGGTCACTTCAAGCACCCACGTTGGCAGGGATACATGGTAAGGAGCGCAGCAGGATTCTGGACTATTTATAAACTCTTCGCATATATGAGTCGTTACAGTATATACTTACAGACTCACTATAGGAGTCGTTCAGTTTTTTCATCTAATATCACTTTAGGGCCTCTAGATGGCACTAGGGAACATAGAGGATAATTAGTCTGTGAAGGTTCTCATTCATCCAGGTCATGGTATATCTGTAAAAAAAATAAGTCAAGGTACTAAAAGAAACAGGAGACATAATAAAAATACAGAGGCATATTTTGAAGATGTACTGTACAAAGAAACTTTATTTAATAAAAGAATTTTGAACAGGAAACAATGAACTGAAGTGAAACATGATCTAGATAAATGTCAAGGGAAAGGAACAACAGGAGGGAGCCTAAGGGTAATGCTACATGGACACTTTCATGCTGGTAGTTTCCCTTGTGTACCTAGCTGTCAGTTGCTGCCATCATAACAGAAAGAAGCAAGCAACATACATTTCTTCCCCAATGCACTGGGGAGATTAAATGCTAAAGACCTGAACATGAGTTATCAAGGAGATATCACAAGAAATTAAAAACTTTGTCATTGTACATTGTTTATAAGAGTTTGTGCAATACACTAGCCCCAAACATAACCCATAATCCATTTTAAAGAGAAAGAACATCTAGCACAGAATTACAGTTATGTCCGTATATATTACTCTTTGAGTTTGCTCTTTTTTTGCCATTATCACTTTTGTGTCTGTGTAGGTTCTCATTCATCCAGGTCATGGTATATCTGTAAAAAATAAGTCAAGGCAACGGGACTTGCTGTATTTTTCTTGAAGACGTTTCACTGGACATCCGACCAGCTTTCTCAATTCAGAATTGAGAAAGCTGGTCGGATGTCCAGTGAAACGTCTTCAAGAAAAATACAAGTTCGGTTGCCTTGACTTATTTTTTTTACAGATAAAGAAGATAATTACTTTTTTCCTATGCTCTTTTAACTCCATCTGGTGGTCATAATGCAAAAGTGGGAATAATTTATTTATGCCCACTGACATGGGATTGTGGCGGTCCCGGTGTTTTTTCTCCCGTTTTCCCTGTTTTTTCTTTCCATTAAATTTAGGTACTGTCCCTTTAAGATGTTAACTGACAAATTTTGGCAGGAAAAGGACAGGTTTCGGCAGGAAAATTCGGGCTCGTGTCTCTTGTAGAAGTTTCTGGACAGTTAGCCCAGGAGCCTATATAAAGGACGGCATGAGGGAGAATGGTCACTCGGCTGGACTCTTTCACAGCGAGCTCATCGAGGGTACAGCCATGAAGACGCTCGTTCAACGAGTATTAGAGAAGGCTGCAGCTGCGGGTGGCAAATAATGGCTGCGGGGCTGCCTTGAAGCTGAAGAAGTGCGTCCTGAAGTGGAGGTCTCGGGAGCTCAGCGCGGGCCAGAAGCGGCAGTGCGAGATGTACCTAGCCTACCCGCCAGCCAGGGTCGTCCACCAGTGCGGCCGTCAATGGAGATAACTTACCGGCCAGAAGATCTGCCGCAGAATGGCGGCCGAAGAGAGTTGCGGCCGGATGACGTCAGCGGAATGGGCGGAGCCAGCAAGAGGCAGCGTAAAAGCAGGCGACCCTTTCTCTCCCTCGCCTGACAGAGCCGTGGGGAGGCGGGGACGTGGGCGGAGACCATCCCCTAGGCAACGAGCAGGACGCGTGTTATCGGGGCAACACAATGACGCCGCATCAGCGGTCATAGCGGCAGGAGCGATCATGGAGGGTCATCAACGGCTGGCTGGAACAGAGGTTTCATCAGCACAGCAGCACACGGGGTCAGCACATCTCCCTGAGTTCATGGCGGCGGTGAAGCAGCAAGAAATCATAGGTTGTGACAGTGTCAACGCTGCCTCCAGTTCTGCTGTTTCTGCTGGGGATGAGTGTGCTCAATCTTTTAACTCCATCTGGTGGTCATAATGCCTTTCATGGAAACATTTGAAAATTCATTCAACTTGTAAAGAAAAACCCAAATAAAGTTAGTTTTGGCATATATTCACAGATATTCAGAGATCGAATGGCGGTGGTGTGAAACTGCTCTTTTTTTATTGTGTTGATGTATACTGATTTGTAGATTTTGCCTCTGTTTTTAAGTCAGCCTTTTAAAAATATGAAAAAGTACCGGTATATACTGCGCTAAATACAACTCAGATACATTTTTGTATTATACCAGTGAAAAACTGTATGCTGAAAACTGGTTATCCCTGACATAAGTAAGCACTTCACATTTGGCAGCCTCATGCGCCCGTATGCATGTTTTTAAGTGCTGGCTCAGTGCTGTATAATAGAAGTCAAAGCACGGATAATTTGCAGGCCAGTCTGGAAACCTTGAGGGGGGACCTGTACTTTCTCCATTCTACAAGTTTCTTTCTAGTTCTCACAGACAAAGGGCAGCCCAGGAACCTTGAGAAGGGCTTTGATGTGCCTTCCTGACCAAACCCCCCCCTCCTTTTAAAGTACCTGACCTGGCCTTCTACTCCTTTAAGGATCAGAAAGAAACTTATCAGGATGGAGAAAGTGGAGGCCCCCTCCTTGATGCTCAGCATTCTCATGTCCTATACACTGTGTTGGACATGATGACTAAATGATCTTTAGACCGCTGCAGCAGAGGAGGAGAGAGGAACCAGGGACTGGTCTAAGAGCCAGCTGGCTCTGAGGATTGGGTAAGTATAACTTTTTTTATTTTTGACCCTAGGCAAAAACAAGTAGTTAACCCAGTGTGGGGGTAGATCCACTGCAAGGGTTAATACATTTTTTAAACTGGAGTTCTGCTTTAAACCTCTATACTCAGAGTCAAGCACTTAAAACCATGCCCTTCCAATGGCAACTTCTAGTCCTTAAATACATTGGTAATAACTTAATTGTAAATTTTGTAGATTCATATTCAATGTTAAGCCCCTAATAGACAGAATAGCCTACGATCTGAGCAGATGGAAACCGCCACACTTCAAAAGGCTAGCACACAAGTATGTACAGGAGAGGAGTGTGGATGGTATAACAATATACCAACAGTGTAGAAGAGGAACATGGAGGGAATGCCAGCAGACAGAATGTGCACGAGAGGAGTCCCTATAATGCGGCAGCATCTCATTAGGGGGGCGGCAGGTGTGGGGGATAACAGATGGGTAGCAGGTGTGGGGGGATGCGGCAGAGGGGCGGCCAAAGCCTTCCAGGTTGCGAAAAGCTCTTAGCAACCTGTGATGCACTGTCCAGCTTTCTGCCTAGCTCACTGACGTCATCGGCCGTCAGGGAGGTGAGCGAGATGCTCTGGCTGCCCCCCTTCCTAGCACCATCAGTGGCAAAAGCCCCCCCACTCTAGTGCTTCAGGTGGCATGTAGGGTAGGGGCAGCCTTATGTGCAGGTGTGAAGTGCTAGGGGTATAATGGGGGCATGGACACAGCTCTGCACTGTGAGCCCACTAAGGATCCTGACAATATTGACAGATGCCTCTGCATCTCTAGAACCAACTGTGCCTGCCCCCTTCCCTGCCTGAGAGGGAGAGAAGAAGGGGGAATCCCTGTGGGGAGAAGAGACTGACAGCCACAGATCACTGAAGGGAGGAGACCATGAGCTAAGCAATCAGCAGTTACATGATCGTACAGCTCTCAGTATAGAGCTGGTTTTGGGACTCTCCCAATACTTCTCCTTTAAATCTGCTGCTGTACCTGAAAGAGACCTGAAACAAGCATGTCTAATATCCTAGTTAATCAAGCATTTAAGGGAGAACACAAATGACAGCGTGGTACTGAAAAAACAAACGACTGGCAGCTGCCAAAAAAAAAGCATTTAAAAAGTTTATGCTATAAGGCGGGAGGGGGGTAAGGAGAGACAATCCCCCCCCCATCCTCTGACTCTCTCTACTTTTCCCTGACCCTCATGCTGTTTTTCTTCTTCTGTCCCACATGTGTCCTTTCCTGCAGCCAGCGATGCACAGCATCTATATGTGTATAACAGCAACCGGTGAAACATAGTGAGCCCGTTTGGGAGGGACACCACCCGAACATATTTGTGCTGCGTACGGTCACTGCTCCAAGTGGCAAGTAGAGACAGATCCCCGATGGGGCTGTACCAACACAGCTGATCTTGGCAGTATATTGGGCAATAGACGCCGATCGATGTTGGGCTTCAAATTGTACAATGAAACAATGTTGTGTGCCCTGATGATGTTGCTCTCAGGCTTGCCTGAAGATTCAAGCTATTCTGTTGTGTTATTATGTTTATTTGTCTCCTTTATATTTTCCTTGTTATGGTGAAATGTCTGTTTGCCATTAGGTTTTGTATTGTATTGAAATCTTTAATAAAATCAGATTGGACTAAAAAGTTTATGCTATTAAACACAAGCACTGCTTTATAGAGCTCACCATTTGAAGGAAATTATTTATATGGTTAATATTGTAAAATGTACTTTGTACTATCTTATACAGACACCAATCTTCAGTGGGCATGAGTTTAGAGAGCTCACCTTGTGAAAGGCATTGGTTTGCCAGAGCCACTTGGCCAGAATGAAGGTACAAGTTGAGCCGGCTAAAGATGCTGGTCAGAGAAGGTATAGTGATAAAGCAGAAAGCCACGCAAGCCTGTTTCAAAAAAGAAAGAAAATATCGAGAAAAAAAATGTTACATTGGCATTATAAACATAGTTGGGCAGTGATTTATAGGTTTAAATAAAACATAGACATTTGTGTAACAGACAGAGATCACAAGCTTCAAGAATAGACTCGGCTTGTTATGGCAAAATACATGTCCTAATTCATTAAACTGGGACATCACTTAAGTAATGCAAAAGCAGCCATCTCAATATTATGAAAATATCGTGTTTCCCCGAAAATAAGACACTGTCTTATATTTTTTTTGGCTCAAAAAAACACACTAGGTCTTATTTTGGGGTAGTTTTTTTTTTAAAAGTATAACGTCCAAAGTTAATGCAAATCCAAATTAAATAATCCAAAATGTCAAAGTTAAGAATAGAAAAAGAACACAAGGGCGCAAAACAAATACTAAGCTACCTGACTGGACAGAACCTTGCAGGGAAGATGACAGAAAAAGATTAAGCACTTACTTGTGTGGGTCCGAGGACCAGATAAGGAACGGCCTGTGGGGAGGATCGGGATGCCCAAGGTGTGTGTTCAATACAGGCTGGTATGCTGCCTGAGGCTGCTCGTCCCAAGAGGGAGAGAGAGGGGAGAAAGGTAGACGAGGGGGCGGATGGCGGAACAAGGACTTCATCTGTGTCCCCGCTGCTTTGGTAGGAGATCCGGGTGGGTGTGCAAGAGACTGGGCAATGTAGTGTCTTGCTGAGCTGCTGTGGCTGCAGCTGTGGACAGTGCGACTCAGTCTGTGTGTGGACCGAGGCGGAGCAATGTGCCCGAGCCGTGATAACGGCAGTAGAAGGGATCCGACAGGGAAGCCGGCAGGGTGACAAGTTGTCAGGTCAGTGACAGTCGTGGATTAGTGGATGTCGGGAGCAACGCGTTTCGAGGCAAACGCCTCTTTTTCAAGCTCAGAAAGAACGGTATTGCGGCGGCGGGAATCCGCTGGTTTAAATGTGACAGCTGGGCGGAGCCTAGGGGCAGTAGGCGGCAGAGCCGGGATTCGGAGCTGTTCAACCTCGGCATGTGTTTGGGAGTTCAGTGTGCGCTTGGAATGAGCTGGACAGATTCAACAGTTTGGGAGATCATAAAGGTGCAGTTGGGGAAACAAAAATTGATGTTTCTGTTCCTATAAAAAAAACGAAACATGGGCATCAAAACCATGAGCGGTTCTTTACAAGTAGCATTAAAAGTGTCATAAAAAACTATCAATTAAAAATTGGATGTTTCTTTGAACGTGATATTCCGAGTAAACGGGTCATTGGTTCAGAAGATTAGTGGTGTGTGGGTATAGTGCTAAATCTATAAGTGTTGATGATAACTGTATGCAAAAAGGACTGATGTTTATTATTAAAAACTGGAGACGGGCTGCTTAACAAGAGCATGTATTAAGGGGCTCAATGTACAAGGAGGAGCAGTTTGGTGACTTTATTACTATAAAAGGTGAAACAGACAATTCGGACCATAGAGGTCCTTTTTTGGGAACCGTTAAAACAGTTTTGTATTTTTGATAAAAAAGGAATTGGTTAAAAATTAAAACTTAAAATGAAGATAAAAATTGAACATACAAATTGAACGCACGGGTGCTCTAGTTTTTATAAAAGGCATGTTGCTACATGAAACTACATGTAGCCCGTGCTCATAGTGGGGAAGACGGGGTGTATAGGAGACCAATTTGTCCCTATGTCCAGAGCCCTGGGTGGGCATCAAAGTGTAATGAGTTATAAGATGGTCAACATTTCTAATTCCTCATTTAATCCGGTTGGAGCAAGGGTATTGAGTTTATAGATCCAAAACGTTTCTTGTCTAAACAGCTTTTGGAAACGCTCAGCTGGGGAGAAATGGTCAGGGATATGTTCTATAGCAAAGACACGTAGATCCTGAATGCGTTTGCCGTGTTTAGTGGCGAAATGTCTGGGGACACTGTGATCACAGTTGCCATCAGCGATGAAGCGTCTGTGGTCCCCTATCCCCTTTCTTAACGGACGGATAGTGCGGCCAATGTATAGTAGATTGCATGGGCATTTCAGGCCATACATTTCATGGTCGTGTGAGCATGTAATAAACTGTTTGATGGAATAACTGTTGTCAAGGTGATCAGTGAATGATGATTGTCCATGGGTAATTAACTGACATGTAAGGCAGCGGGATTTTTTGCATTGATAAATCCCCACTCTATTGTCAAATTTTTGGTGTGGTGTTTCTCTAGTGACCCCAGTCAGTATCCTACTTGGTGCTATTTTATTCTTAAGATTACGGGCCTTTCTAAAAGTAACTGCGGGTTTAGTGGAAATGAACGGGCCTAATTTGGGGTCTTGTGTTAGAATGTGCCAGTTCTTACGAATAATGCTTTGTATTTTATTGTGACTGTTGTTGAATGTAGTGATGAATCTTGTTTCTACCTCAGGCTCCGGACGTTCGTTTGTTTCTGGTGTGGGCGGCTGTAGATAGGTCGAGTATGTGTTGTGAATGAGTATGTCTGGGTAAGCTTTTTCCTTGAATTTATTAGCAAGCAGTTTGCTCTCTGTGGTGAAGTCTGTTAATTTGGAGCAGTTCCGTTTCAATCTGCAAAATTGGCTTTTGGGGATGTTTTTAAGCCATCTGGGATGGTGGCAACTGTGGAAGTGTACATAGGAGTTGCCGCTGGTGGGTTTTGTGTGGTTACTGGTGGTGATGGTGTTCACCATCACCATACCCTTGCTCCAACAGGATTAAATGAGGAATTAGAAATTTTGACCATCATACTCTTGCTCCAACAGGATTAAATGAGGAATTAGAAATTTTGACCATCTTATAACTCATTACACTTTGATGCCCACCCAGGGCTCTGGACATAGGGACAAATTGGTCTCCTATACACCCAGTGTTCCCCACCATGAGCACGGGCTACATATAAGTACATAATACCAGTCTTAGTTTCATGTAGCAACATGCCTTTTATACATTTTTATCTTAATTTTAAGTTTTAATTTTTAACCAATTCCTTTTTTATCAAAAATAAAAAACTGTTTTAACGGTTCCCAAAAAAGGACCTCTATGGTCCGAATTGTGTGTTTCACCTTTTATAGTAATAAAGTCACCAAACTGCTCCTCCTTGTACATTGAGCCCATTTTTAATAATAAACATCAGTCCTTTTTGCATACAGTTATCATCAACACTTATAGATTTAGCACTATACTCACACACCACTAATCTTCTGAACCAATGGCCCGTTTACTCGGAATATCACGTTCAAAGAAACATCCAATTTTTAATTGATCGTTTTTTATGACACTTTAAATGCTACTTGTAAAGAACCGCTCATGGTTTTAATGCCCATGTTTTGTTTTTATAGGAACAGAAACATCAATTTTTGTTTCCCCAACTGCACCTTTATGATCTCCCAAACTGTTGAATCTGTCCAGCTCATTCCAAGCGCACACTGAACTCCCAAACACATGCCGAGGTTGAACAGCTCCGAATCCCGGCTCTGCCGCCTACTGCCCCTAGGCTCCGCCCAGCTGTCACATTTAAACCAGCGGATTCCCGCCGCCGCAATACCGTTCTTTCTGAGCTTGAAAAAGAGGCGTTTGCCTCGAAACGCGTTGTTTCCGACATCCTCTAATCCACGACTGTCACTGACCTGACAACATGTCACCCTGCCGGCTTCCATGTCGGATCCCTTCTACTGCCGTTATCACGGCTCGGGCACATCGCTACGCCTCGGTCCACACACAGACTGAGTCGCACTGTCGACAGCTCAGCAAGACGCTACATTGCCCAGTCTCTTGCACACCCGGCCGGATCTCCTACCAAAGCAGCGGGGACACGGATGAAGTCCTTGTTCCGCCATCCGCCCCCTCGTCGACCTTTCTCCCCTCTCTCTCCCTCTTGGGACGAGCAGCCTCAGGCAGCATACCAGCCTGTATTGAACACACACCTTGGGCATCCCGATCCTCCCCACAGGCCGTTCCTTATCTGGTCCTCGGACCCACACAAGTAAGTGCATAATCTTTTTCTGTCATCTTCCCTGCAAGGTTCTCTCCGGTCAGGTAGCTTAGTATTTGTTTTGCGCCCTTGTGTTCTTTTTCTATTCTTAACTTTGACATTTTGGATTATTTAATTTGGATTTGCATTAACTTTGGACGTTATACTTTTTAAAAAAAAAAACGTTCCTTATCTGGTCCTCGGACCCACACAAGTAAGTGCATAATCTTTTTCTGTCATCTTCCCTGCAAGGTTCTCTCCGGTCAGGTAGCTTAGTATTTGTTTTGCGCCCTTGTGTTCTTTTTCTGGTTTTCACAATCACAGGTACTCCTCCTGTTTCCCAGGGCTGCATGTTAGTCAGTGACCTACAATCCATCTTTCTAGGGCCAATCCGAGAGCGCTGTTTGTGCTGTCTTTGTGTTTTTTTAAAGTTAAGAATAGGGTGATCAGGGCAATCAGGGGTGCCGTACCTTTCCAAGAGCAATTTGGTAACCAGAATGAGCGAAGCGTGCTTTCACTATCGATTCCTCACAGGCGGAGTGCATTTGGTATCACTCCACCTGTGACAAGAGCCGGCGTTATAGAGGAAACATTGGCTTAAATATTACCAAATTATTTTTATGCATCTCTATGCATAGTACTTAAAATAATGCACCAAACGTCTTAGTCTCAGTGCTATTGGTATCTCAGAGACCTTCAAACAGTAGCAGCCTCTCCACACTCCCAGTGGTAGCTCCTTAAAAGGTCAAGGAATCCCTCAGTATACGTAAAAAGATAAAACAGAGCGCTCCTTTCATGTGCAGAACATTTATTATGATTAAAAAGTTGCATAAGTAAATGTATTCACAAACGCACTAGCAAATGCACGTAGGTAAGTAGCAGTCAGCAAGAGCGCCATACTCGCATTCGTAGGAACTATTCCTCACTAGCAAGTCACATTTCCAGGGCACACCCTCTTTTTTAGAGCCATGGCTTCCATGCCGCCAGTCACATCCATGTCTGCACCAGCCGCTGTGTGCTTA